CTCGCGCCGTTTCAAGCAAGTCGTCGACACCAAGTGCAAACCTCATGCTTTGTACCTGCTGCGCCGCAAATCCATTCCGATAGAAGTTGACGACGCACTACTTGCTATCCGCCTGAAGCGCATACCCTGGGAGTCATGCTGCCATTACGACCACGCACGAGGCGACTATTCTTTCTACCCTTCAAAAGACTTCTTCGAGGCCGTTCTGAATGAGACTGAAGTGCCGCCAGGCTGTCCCTCTATTCCAGCCGCAACCTGGTTGCAAGAGGTCGAGGCTGTCATGGACCTGTACCTGTTGGTGTTGGCCTATATGTCTACCGGCCAGCACTGTTCATTGAACATCCAACAGCATTACCTTGGGGGCTATTATCTTGAACAAATTGACTCGCCCTACGAATGGCCAAAGCCCCAGACAGAAGCCATGATCCGGTCGCACTTCCGCCTGTTTGTCTTCACAACTGTGTACGCACCACGTGTTTTTGTTGAGCCTCTTGCCAGCATTTCAGCTATAATGGACAACACTCCGATACCGGACGTCACTGCTATAACGGAACACCGGGTAGCTTTATTGATGGAAGAAATGGCGAAATACCCTGTGTTTCAGAAGTTGCAACTGCCCTTGGAGGAAAGAACAACACATCCGCTCCTTGATGGCTTTTTTGAGTGGCTATACGCCCAGCCCGAACCCCGCGAATTCCTAGTGCTCCCTGATGGCTTCCAGGATCCAGCTAGTGGCCACCCAGGCGACCGCTTAGTAAGGACTTTTCCAGGAGAAGAACGTCACCAGGTTGCCCTCATGCAGCTGTGGAAGATACACCAGATAATGGATGATCGAGAGTGCGGTAACGAACCAACACCTGAGTATCATGTTGCATCTCAATTCAACCCGATACAGCCAGGGCTCACTGACCCAGCTACCGCCTATCGCCGACCCCTTCAAATTTCGATTTGGTCTGAGCCCCAGCTCATCATCGAAAGTTGGACAGAAGACACCGCTTGCTCAGTGGTGCTAGAGGTTCCTGGAGAGACGTGTAAGGATCACATCAAGAGATTCGTTCTACTGAAGATGAATTATTCGGGGGGATTCAATGCCTTTAGCAGGGTGTTTGAGACTGAACTCAAGAACAGATTTGGCTTGAGATACGTTCCTCAAGAGGTGACATCTCTAGATATTGACTATGGCGTGTTGGACCCGAGACCTGAGTTGGAGGAATGGGAATAGGCTATGCAACGACTCCTCCGCTGCGTAAATTCGCCACTTCCTCTTTACTCATCCCCAATGTATCACCGAGTATCTCGTCCGTATGCTGGCCTAGTGTGGGCGGAGGTAGTCGTATGCCTGGAGTCGAGTCTGACCATTTCACGGGCGTATTGACTAGTTTGATCGGTCCACATGCTGGGTGCTCTATCTCTTTGACCATGTCTCTTGCGAGGACTACTCCAGATTAGTATCAAAAACAAATACTTGTTCCGACAGAGGTAATCTACATACCGTGTTCGTGGTTCAATGTATCCTGAACATCGTTGATAGCAGCGTACGCTGGAATTGTTAGCTAAGAACTCCAAGGCATACCGTTGGTACTTACGCATGCCACTTCCCTCAAGCACGTCGAGCAGTTCCTGGGTAGTCTTCTTCTTCGTCTCCGTCTCAATCAAATCCTCTAGCTCGTCTCTATGCTGAACTCTCAATGCGTTCGTCTTGAACCTTTCATCGAGAATCCATTCGGGCCTTTCCAACCTATTACACAGCACTCCATACAATCTATCATTTCCGCCTCCCAGCAAGATGTCTCCATCCGCTGTCTTGAACGCTTTGTACGGTACAATCGATGGATGCGAGGTTCCCCAGCGTCCAGTGTCGCGTTTTCCGCTAATAAGAGTGGAGCTGGCAATATTGGCCAGGGTGGCAACTTGGCAGTCTGATAACGCGACGTCGATGTGTTGGCCCTTGGAGTTTGGGTTTCTGAGGCGCCGGAAGAGAGCTGCCATGATGGAGTTGGAGGTGTAAAGACCGGTTGTCAAATCGGTTACTGCCACGCCGACCTTAACGGGTGGGCCATCGCGGGTTCCGGTTATGTGCATTAGACCAAATTCGCTGGATGATGTTAGCATTGGCATGGTGTTAGAAAAATGAGTCGGGAGATATACGCTTCAACCATGACGTCGTAACCTGCCCTGTTTCTGTAGGGGCCCGTCTGACCGTAACCTGTGATACTGGCGTAGATGATACCGGGGTTGATCTTTGACACGGTATCATAGTCCATAGCGTACTTTGCTAGAGATCCTGGAAGATAGTTCTCGACAAGAACATCACATTCTTTGACTAGGCGATGCAAGATGTCTACACCAGCTGGGTGCTGGAAAGACAGGCCTATCGATCGCTTGTTACGGTTGACCTATTACCCGTGAGCCACGAAAGAGCCGTGATAGGGGTGTTCCACTAACACCCAAGTAGTAAGCACTCTCTCCTGGTCCTTCTTGGTTGTCGGTGTACTTCGCGTAAGGTGGTCCCCATGCTCGTGTGTCGTCTAGGCGAATTAGCTGGGTTGGGGAGCAGCTTCAAATACCCCTCTACTTACCTCCTCTTGTCGGATGCTCAATCTTGATTACGTCTGCTCTAAACCAACGTCAATCTCCAAGTCCTCTCATCGCCAACCTCGGTTGGGCCGTACAGGGCTATCCATCGCATACCCAAGATCGCCCAAGATTTGCGTGCAATATGGCTACTAGAAGTCAGTCGAGTTTCTCGCGAGTTCATGAATCATGACTCACTCCAGCAAGTACTCTTGTCATATCAAGCACTTTAATGCCGGCTAGAGGCAGGTTGGACGCATCTGCATTCGATGCCTCAGTTGCTAGCCGTCGAACATGGCTGGGTCGTGCCCAATTGGACCGTGGACATGTCACCGTCGCCTGGAAAGCGCGTCTCGAGCTTCTCAGCAGCATGCTTGCCATTTCGATGTGGTGTATGTAGAATCACGATATGTGCCGGGTAACGGAATGCTTCCACGGCATACCTATTCCCGACGATGGGCTAGCTCCAGTTCGGTGATCCGAGGCTCATCGCTAGCTGCAGAACCCCACCAAGTTTCTCTCTCCAATTACCCACCCCACCATGTTTACTGGTCTCGTTGAAACCATTGGCAGTAAGCTACCATGCATTGTCTTTCCTGCGCGGCTCGGCTGACGATGGCTAGCTGTTGCCGCTCTTGAGAAGCTCGACCAGACGGCCTCGGGAGGCGGCGGCACATCGTTGACCATCTCCGGATGTGAGGACATACTGGGGGACGCCCATCTGGGCGACAGTATCAGCGTCAATGGTACGTTGGCGCTACTATACTTCATCTCGTGGTCTAATCCAACCAGGCACCTGTCTCACCGTCACGGAATTCACCAAGTCATCGTTCAAGATCGGATGCGCTCCCGAAACCCTCCGACGGACAAACTTGGGGTCGCTGAAGGAGGGCTCCAATGTCAACCTAGAGCGCGCGGTCTCTGCCAACACACGCATGGGCGGTCACTTCGTGCAAGGACATGTCGACACCATCGCCACCATCGAGTCGGTAACACCGGACGGCAACGCCCTTACCTTCCGCTTCAAGCCTCGCGATACCTCGGTCCTGAGATACATTGTCGAAAAGGGTTATGTCACAATCGACGGGGCTAGCTTGACGGTCACAAAGGTGCAGGATGGCCCTGAGGGTTGGTGGGAGGTCATGTTGATTGCCTACACCCAAGAGAAAGTCGTCACGGCAAGCAAGAAGCCGGGCGAGGACGTCAATGTCGAGGTCGACCAAGTCGGCAAATATGTCGAGAAGAGCGTAGCTGGATACTTTGAAGGGTCATCGAATGGAGAATTCGCGATACTGGAGAAGATGGTTTCGAAGCTGGTAGACGAGAGGCTGAAGGCTCTTGGGAAGTGATGGACATATGCTGAACCATCGGCTGCTACGCGTACGCGCACGCGCAGGCAGGCTCTCAGCGCCAAGATCGAGGGTTTGCCGTCAATGCCGCAGAAGTCATGGCCCCACATTAGTAACCAACCAAAACAAATCATTCAACTTCAGTTATATGGTTGCCTCGAAAGGGGCTCATAGGTGAGACTTGCAGCCCCATTGCGGTGGTGGCTTGGACAGAGTGAGGCGCAGCCTTGGTTTCGTCCAATACATATATATCTGCATGTCTATCCCATCATCCTCGAAAGACACTTCCTACAATTTCACACATATCCATTAGAGGGTGAGCAGATTGATATTTATGATCTGAGTCGGTCGTTGATGCTTAGCTCGAGTGGCGGCTCTCACATCGATCCTCTCATGGTTGACAGTTGTCAAAAGGCATATCATCGCACAATCCGGAGTGGCGGCTTCGAAGGTCTCCTCAACCGTTGAACAATCATTGCTTACATTGCAGGACTAGTCCATGCTATAGTGGAGAGAGTTAGGCAGAACACCATGCCGCGGCGCCGACATGCAGACCAACGATGTCATTAGGCCGAAAGCTCTGGACGTTTCGATACTTTTTGTGCTGCGAGCCGGTACGATAGGAATGATCTTCCACTGACAGCGCAGACGTGCAGCTATCGGGGTGGCGTCTCCGCCTGTCCAGAACAGCATCTTGCCCAGTGGTGCAGCGCAATTGCGGGCAGCGAGCTGGCCGAGACTAACAGACTCTAACTCAGAAGATTGGGGGCCAAACTGATTGCACAAAAAAATTGTGTGAAAGAGGAAGCGAAGACCGCGGGTTACATGCAGGCTTGGTAAGGGATTCTGTCGGCATAGGTCATTGGCGTTTCTCACCGGCGTGCTGCTGCATAAACACGTCAAGAGCCGACCCTCCTCAAGCGCGCATGCCACCAGACGTCTACCCCAGACGCTCATCTCGTAGCGCCATCGCTTGAGCGATTTCTCTTCCCTTTCCCCGCCGATTCCCAGGCGTCTAAAGCATGCGTTGCGACTAAATCTTTGTCTTCGGCTATCTATCCCCGGTACGCACCTGTCATGGACTGGCGACTACTCGACTACGCCAAGGAAGCTGAGGAGACCGCAACGGGCCTACTCTCCTTCGAGAGTGAGATCCCCCAATATCGCAAAGACGTCAGGAGCCATATCGCAGAGTTATTTGCCATATCGCACGCTCTACTTGAGCTGAACGAGGCGCTGGAGTCGTCCCGCTATGGCAGATATGCAGGCTTCATACGAACGGATCTGGAGGTTTGCCTCCCGAGCTTAGGACACACGCTTGACGATGTTCAAGAAATATTCACCAGGTCCAAGAAGAGCAGGCACGCTGCGCCCGGTGCTTTTCCCGGCACACCACCGTATGCACTCATCTGGGAAGATGCGCTTACGGATTTCACGGCGGAAGGCATGTCCTTACCCAAAAGATTCGAGATAGTTAGGACATATCTACAGTGCATGCACGACGCTCTGAAGGGGTATGTAACATTGGCGACATGTTCAACGGGATGGCTGACGGGTTCTAGAAACGAGGATGAGGCCGCATTGGCTAAATTCAAAGTCACGCTATCCAGGCTGCTCAAGAAACAAAAGCCAACGCCGATTGAATCTTACTTCAGTAAGCTCTCAGTGCATGGCAATGGGAAGAGTGGTGCTAGAACACCAAAACCGCCTTCCCCCAAAGTGTCTAGACCGAAGATACACCAACACCCCACGTATCCGGCAGCCCAGTACGGGTACCAGCCAGCCCCGCTACCGCTACCTCATCGATCTCATATTGCACCAACGTGGGGAGGCATAGGGGACATACCGTATATTCCTCCCCCAGTGCCAGAAATCCCTCAGTCGCCCACGTATTCGTCCGCATCATCACAGGCCTACTCGAACCAGTCGACGGATTCAGAGCCAGTCGCTCATTGGGCAATGAAGATCTTCGATGGACGACACGGCTCTACACCATCTCAAAGCCCCTCGGAGCCTACTGAGTGCTTCGGGAGAGATGAACCAAGAGTGATTGAGCTGTTAGACACCGATGGCTTTGAAAGGATTCTAGAACTGCCATTCGAAGCAACTGAGGTCTGGATAAGAATTTACTGGAGGGCCGACGACAACCGTGCACGAATACTCTTCCTTACTACGGATCACAATGGCAACCGTGTGAGGTACCAGGTTCCAATCACCGCATTAGCAGTACGGCGCGCAGGATCGTGCTTGCAGCTCTGTCGCATCAATCGCCAAGATGGTCAACTTGACCTGTGGGCTAGACTGCGCTTCCCTCTATACGAACGTAGGTACATTTGAGTCGCTCCTGCAAACACCCTCTAATGTTCTTTCAGGTATGGTACTTTTCTATTGTACCGCCATAGCTATGAAGCGCCAGGACCACACTCCCATTGCAGAGGGGCTCGAAGATGTTTTCCTGCCAGGAGAAAGGATTATGTTTGCAGGGTAAGTGATTGTCACTAATCTCTTGTTTCATGCTGACGCTACTCAGCGAGACCGTTGACGGCAAGTATCTCCACGTCTTCCGCGTCAAATACGATACGGACTCGGGCTGTGTACGGTTCGAAGCCACTGCTCGTCGCGGGCCTATGAAGGACATACCTATCTGGACGGCGTTCGTCACGCCATATGTCGGACGCGGTGACTGGATGAAGCGCGTCGGTCCAGAAACAATCCAGTTCGAGAAGCTGCATCCGTATGTCTTCAGTGATAGCTACAGGCTACCCAAAGGCCCTACGGGCAAGTACCGGTTGAGCTTTACTTCACCAGAAGGTATTTGAATCCCCATCACCTATACGTGTCCGATGCTGATACATAAGTTAGACGCGAAACAGTTCAAAGAAAACTTTTACCGCATGAGAGTCCGCTAGGCTTCCTGACGAGCTCAATAGAGCAACCCCGTTCGACCAAAATGTACGACACTCTCCTAATGTATGACGACATCACGACCAAAATCTATTAACGACTTCACGACATAACGCAAACAAAACTCTCACGCCGTAACGACGAGGGCGGATTCTGCTTTTGGCACGATATACCCCTCTCACTACTTTCTCTGGTTGGATGTTGCAAATTGACACTATGCTGTTCTTGATGCTGTATTTGTCTTGAAGCCTTGGCCTTTATTTATCGCAAGTAGCATAATGGTAAAGAAAATTGGTTGCATGAACCTTGGGATCGACAGCAAAAAAAGTGAACATCTTCGTGTCACGCCTCTTTGGGCCTAGCGTCCAAAGTCTCAGATGCCCCGCTTCCCACCGAGATTGCCCTGGTGAGACCCTGGACCGAGCGAGTCTGTGCTTGGTACTACCAAAACCAAAATTTCCCTATCCTACTTGGACCGGAGCAACGCCAGTCTCTCTTCCTCTACTTTCAACCGCTCACACCTCCTCTCCTCCTCACACTCTACTCTCAATATGGCGAACCAGCAAGAAGCCGGAAAGAAGGACCCCCTCACGGGCATGGCGCACTCTGAGGCGCATTACTTCAACAGGTAGGCATCATTGAGGGTCCAGACATGCGTAGAGTTTCGCTAACAGTATTGTGTAGCTACAACCACCATGGTCCGTACAAGTACACTTTGATGAGGTGAACGATACTAATGCGCGAATACAGGTATCCACGAAGAGATGCTGGTACGATTGCCCCTCCCTGCCATTACCTTTACTACGACGACTAACAATGCGCTTTAGAAAGATGAAGTCCGAACCAAGAGCTACCGCGACGCTATCTACCAAAACCCTCACCTGTTCAAGGACAAGGTCGTCCTCGATGTCGGATGCGGCACATCCATCCTGAGCATGTATGCGCTCCTCGCCCCCCTACATACCACACACGAGCACGCGCTGATATGCTGGCTATAGGTTCGCCGTAAAGGCTGGCGCAAAGCACGTCATCGGTGTTGACATGTCAACCATCATCGACAAGGCGAAGGAGATTGTCGAGGTCAACGGCATGTCGGACAAGATTACCCTGCTACAGGGCAAGATGGAGGAGGTTGTCCTACCCTTCGACAAGGTTGACATAATAATATCCGAGTGGATGGGCTACTTCCTGCTCTACGAGTCCATGTTGGACACCGTTCTCTACGCCCGCGACAAGTACCTGGTCAAGGACGGCTTGATCTTCCCCGACAAGGCTACCATCTTCATGGCTGGTATCGAGGATGGCGAGTACAAGGAGGAGAAGATTGGATGTAAGTACAGCAAGCTCTGATTTGCTACAACACTACTAACAGAACAGTCTGGGATAACGTCTGGGGCTTCGACTACTCTCCTCTCAAGGCCACCGCCATCACCGAGCCCCTCGTCGACACCGTCGACATCAAGGCCGTCGTCACCGACCCCTCCCCCGTCATCACCCTTGACCTTTACACCTGCACCGTCGCCGACCTCGCTTTCCGGTTACCGTACGAGCTCAAGGCGCGCCGCAGCGACTTCATCCACGCCGTCATCGCATGGTTCGACATCGAGTTCGCCGCCTGCCACAAGCCCATCCGCTTCTCCACCGGTCCCCACACCAAGTACACCCACTGGAAGCAGACAGTCTTCTACCTGAAGGATGTACTGACGGTCGAGGAGGGCGAGACCATCAGCGGCATACTAGAGAACAAGCCCAACGAGAAGAACCACCGCGATTTGGACATTAGCATCTCATACAAGCTCGAGGCGAACGACATGCACAGGCAAGCATCAGGCGAGTCACAGTACAAGATGTGCTAGTCTGTCTCTTGCGTGTAGAGTGAGGTTTGGGACGGCGTAAACCACCGTTCGGGGAAAGAGGCGCCTGTGTCTTCCATGATAGACTTTTTCGGCGTTTTATGGCAAGGGATTCGCATACCAAAAATTTAGGGTAGCATGAGCATGTGTGAACGAGTTACGAAGCAGGGACCAATCTATCATTGGGAATTCCTCCCCTACAAACAATATCTGTCGCCTCTGACTTTGGAATGTGATATATGCGCCAGGACTGGAACGTGCCAAAGCAAAGAATGTTAATCTGAATGTTCATTGATGAATGCTAAACGCCGTTGCCATGATGCTATGCTGCGCTCGCAAGCGGGGGTATATATGCAAAGTCTCAACCCCAAGATACTCCGCATCTAATTTCCAGCCAACGCGGCCGTAAAAGCAAGCTCCAATACTTCGTGAGAGATAGCCGACCAGGGTCGTGATATCTTGTAAAGTTTTCGCCATGTAAATGCAAAACCAATCGCCAACCTCTTGATACTCCCAAAATGAACCACAGACAAAACTTCTAGTAGTCGTAGCTTTCGTTAGCAAATCCTTCATCATCGTCTTCCAAGTAGTTGTGCTCCAAATCTTCCTCTTCTTCTTCTACCTCTTCCATTTCTTCTTCCTCCTCCTCTTCCTCGCCTTCCGCGTCGACATCTGCAGGCTGCTGCACAACAGCTTGGGGGGTTGAGGCTGAACTAGCACCCTGACCGCTGGCAGATGGGCTCGCAGAAGGGTGACCGCCGGGGAACAACTCCTTGAGTCGGTCGTAGTTGATGTGGTTACTGAACGCTTTGGCGCGCTTCTTGAGCATCTTGTGGGCAGCGTCCGCCGCACTAGCTGCAGGCTGACCCTCAAGAACATTACCATCGCCCATCTGGTGGTGTTTGCGCTTCTGCTTGGGTTTCTTGGGTTTGTCCTCTGCGGCCTCGAGTTCGGCTTGCAACATCTTGGTCTGTTGGTCGCGCAGCCACTGTTCATTCTCTGTGATCCAGATGGCTTCCTTGCGGCGGACTTCCTCAGGGTTGAGGATGCAGGTGGCAACATCGGGGTCATCGTTGAACTCGTCTTCACCAATCTCAGGATCCGTATTTACGGGTACGGCATCGCGGGTGTCGGCGGCGACGCGGGCCATCTCTGCTGCTGTCCAGCCCGAACGCCTGAGTAGCTCGTGATCTTCACTGTTGGCGATTTCCTTGAAGATACCCTCCCAGTCCTTGATGGTATTTGTGACTTCGTCTTCAAGCTCGTGCTCAATTTCGAGATCCTCTTCGGCGATGACAACAGGCACTCGCGGCTTCTTTGGTGGTCGGCCACGCTTCTTAGGCATGACAAAGTCTGGGTCGATGGTCTCACCGGCCTCGACTTCCTCGACTGCACTGACAACAGACTCCAGGACCGCCTCCGTGTTGCCGTCAAGAGCCGCTAACTCAGAGGATGGATCGCTATCCTGTGTACCAGAAGCTTCCGTCTCAGTCGCGACTGGCTGAGATGAACCGTCGTTTGACTTGCGCCTCTTGCTCGTGCGTTTTGGTGCCGCGTCTGAGCCTGCTTCTGCCTCGCTATCTCCCGACGGGTTCTCTGTATTCTCCGGGTCGCCGCCCTCAATTGCTCGTTGCTTCCTCTTTTCCCTTCGCTCTTCCTTTTCTGCGCGCCGCCAAATGGCAGGAGGCTGAGCCTTGACCTTGAGACGGGGTCCGAACTCTCGGAACTGGTTGACCGTGAGAGCCGCGCTCTGTGTCCTCTTGTATTCGTATAGACGGGAGGTGATAGTGGAGTCGGCGACCTTGACAACGTAGACGACCTCTCGGATGGTCCGGCGGAAGTTGTTCATGCGGGCGGCTATGATGATACAGGCGCCACACAGCCCAGCCGGCTGACGACCTTGCACCATCCAATCCCGGTTCATGCGCTTCAGGACCCTACAGGCGTCGTCGGCGACCCTGTGAGAATCCTCTCCAAACTCGAGCTTTCGACAGTACTTCAGCATCAAGGGCTCGATCTCCTGAACGGCTTTTGTGCCCACGAGCTGTGCGGGGTCGTCCTCCTTCAACATCTCTAGAAACTGTTTGTATGTGTCTCCGAGCTGCCAGACGTTGGTCTGAATCTTTTCGGCCAAGTCGATGAGCATGAGCGTGTTCTCGGGTTGTCTCCGTGCTGCCATGTAGATCGCGACAGCGGCAACGGTCCTCATGCGGCGACCCTGGATGAATCGGTGGTTCATGGCGAGCTTGTACCAGCTGTAAGCCTGTTCTACGACGGCCTCGCGCTGGTTGAGAGATGCGCCTAGAGCTACGATAGAGTTCTTGCCATTCATCGCAGCCTGGTCCCTGCTACCCATACCCTCCAGACCCCGCATAGTACCGCCCATGGAATTCGCGTGACGCTGGTTGGCGTGGATGAAGCCACCCTCGACAATGGCTGCTCCGCCCGAAGTTTCGCCAAAAGTAACCTCGGAGACGATGTTGTTTTCGCCGTGGACAGCACCGCAGTTGTAGCACAAGACTTCATTGTCGGAAGTATCTATCTCGGGTTTCTCGCAGCAGGTGTATGTACGTTTCGCGGTTTTGGTGGCAGCCACCACGGGCGCCTTGCTTCGTTGCGTTGCTTTGGATTGATAGTGGTAGGGATCGCTCAGACCTTTGATCCGCGGTCCTCTTGCGACCTGAGCTGCCGACATATTGGGCGTGTGGGAACGTAGGGCGCGGGTGCGAACGAGCGTTGTGTCGGGTCGGTTGAGGAACGATCGAGAGTAAGAAAGTAAAGTCGGCAAGGCAGCACGAATGAGACGCGGTACCGCGGGAGGGGCACTAGCGATGACTGGCGCTAAGTGGGGTGAGCTTGACCGCTTTGGGAAGAGAGCTCTGCACCTCGAGCTGCGAACACATGGTCAACACCGTGACTATGAGAGCCTGCTGCCTTCAACGCTGTATCGGATCGCTAGCCGTCGAAGGGATCTCATATACAATTTTACATTAATGGAACAAATATGAGCTGTATTTGACGCATTCCTGTAGTTACAAATGACTTGACATAAAGGAGCACACTGCGTAGCTGTTCTTGTGTCCCTCCTATACTGTGGAGGCTGGTTGGATGCACAATGTTCACGATTATCTATCCTACAATTGCCGTTGCGAGGTATTTCTTTGCGACACTCTCGACGGATCTCTCATATCAACAGACATTGAGCGGTACCTGCAGCAAAGTAACATCAGCGCAACGCTTGTGTGCCCCCGTCCCGGTGCTCCCATGCGGGTGATGACCACATGGCCAATGATTGGCTAATCTGGACACACCCGAACAGCCCGAACTAAGCCATTGAGCAAAAGCCCGCAAGAGCCCTGGTTTCCCAGCCTCCTTGGTAGGGCTTGCGTAGGTGGTGTCTATTTCATCCGGGCGCCCGTCCCTGGGTCCCCGCTCGCAAGCTTCTCCATAGCTCTCAGCTCTCGCCCTACCCCAAAACACTACCTTGACCTACCAACCTTCGTCAAATTTTCCCAACACGACACAATGTCCACAAGAAAGAGGAAGAACCAGGAGGAGGAGCTTGTCGCTCTCCCAAGTGACGAGAGCGAAGAGGAAGAAGAGTAAGTCGGCGCTCCCTTGACGTCATGGCCCTTGCACTTCGCGTCGCATGCATCCCCTCTTCAAAGTGAATTAGGATCTTTGGAATTGTTACCAGATTCTACGAAAGTTTGACAGACGCGGAATCGATGTTGCGCCCGGGCTTTCGGGGTGGAGAAACGGTTGACGCGACGGCGCTTCACAACAATGCTCACAACGCTCTCAACTTGGATCCGCTCGGCGGTCACTTCTCTCCTTTGAGTGTCGAGGACTTCTGGGCTGCGCTTTACTCTCGACTATGGAAGATTCATCACAACGCTAACACATGCCACGTAGATATGACGAGTCTGACGGATCAAACTTCAATTCAGACGATTCCGACGCCGAAGAGCCTCGTAAGCCAATACTGCCATCCAATATCACTGCATATAAGTTTCTCACACTCGATTGTAGCACCGAAGAAGAAGACCAAGCGCACCAAGCCCAAAGACGATGAAGACGATGAAGAAGAGGAGGAAGACGACGTGAGCGACGACGATGATGACGACGCCGCGGTGCCCGAGGAAGACGACGACGACGATGAAGACGCCAACCCAAAAGGCAAGAAGCCAGCCGGTGCGGAGAAGGACCGGAAGGTTAAGACCACAGGCAAAGCTGACCCTGTACCTGTTGTCGACGACGACGACGATGACGAGTAGAGATGTAATTTCGAGGTGCCCAGCATGTTAGTAGTGCTAGCTGATCAACGAGAATATACAAAGTATCAGTTGATAGTCTTGTTCTTGACTATGTTCAGTTGTTCTACTTAACTCGTGGTGGGCGGAAGTGCAAGCATGTCTGTATCCAGCCGATGCATCTCTCGACGAAGCTGTTCGAGGTGCCACACAAAAACCTCGACTCAGTCTAGAATTCAGCTGGCAGTGCCATTACAACAGGACTGCCCAGGTGTGCAACTTTGGGTGACCAGGCCGGATGAGTTCTAGTGTGATAGCCTTAGCGCGCCGCCTCTACGTACATATGTAGGTACCCAGACATTTCACGCGACTACCTCGTTCACCAGAGTTGGAAGTACTCTGCAGACTACGACGCTACCGCTGTCAGCCGCAACAACGTGAGAGAGCGCGCCGAACAACATCCTCCGTTACTTCCCAATTCTGGTCGCTCTTGCCTTCCAAAGTCTGTGGTGAACGCACTCCGCTCTTACCACGCGTGTTTCACCCGCTCGACACGCCTCACCTCCAACGACACCATGGCGCCGGCTTTGAATGATGCGACCAATTGTCTGGACGTCGACGATGCGCAAGATGGTTTTGAAGAGCTCCTGATCGCGTTCAACCCATATGTTGAGGAGCTACTTCACCAACCCGCATTCCACCCCTTCATGACTTTACCTGCTGTACGTGTTATCATCGTACCGGTTCTGACTGTGACATTAGCTGACGATTTTGACTAGGAGCTTCGATGCATGGTCTACGAGCAGTACTTCCTGGACGAAAAGCAATCGATAGCCTGTCAGGATTGGCCACACTTGCGATTCTCTGAGGACCATGAGCAGTCTATCCGACTTAAGAGGAAGCACTCACCGTTTCTGCCGTCTCTTTGTCTCACCAGTAAGAGCCTGCGAAGTGATCTGCTCTCTTGTTTGTTGGAGGCAGCGCGTTTCGAGTTCGACGACTGTACAGCTCTCAGTAGGATCATGGTTTCACTGGAGACAAGATCCCTGCATCTCTATGTTCGAAAGGCGAAAACAAGGAACGTGAACGGGCAGCGAGGGATTGTATTCCTCAAAGACGAGCCCGGCGGAAGTGAAGAGGACGCCCGCGAGCTCACGCAAAGGTGCAATAAAGTCAACTCCTCCACGATCAAGCGCTTCTCACGACTTCGCGAGCTTAACGTCACACTTTACTCGCCATTGTTGTGTACGCCTGGGAGTGGCAATACAACGTTCTCCATCCGTCCAATTTCATTCGACATGTTCTTGCATGACTTCCAATTCCAAGGTATCCTGGGCTTGGAAGAGCTACAAAAGCTCACCATTACAAAGATCAGCGGCGCAGCCGGCACTTACGACACCCGCAAGCAGATGAAACTCAACAATGACGGCCTGGTCGAAGACGATAAGTCAAGCAATCTCACCGCTGTATTGGATTTCTGTCGACAGATCAAACATGGGTTCACTACTCAAGGACGCAACGTGGTAGTCAAAGCCTATCTTCAGTATGGCCAGGATGTATATGAGGAAAGGATCTTTCCTTGAATGATTGCGGAAGGAGACCGAGCCATGCAGACTGGGATGAGGCGAGCCGCCGTCGGACGTGGTCACAGAGGTAGATGCATAGGATGGCAATATGTGCAAAAAGGGCAGTTGGGACACGCGTGAAAGACACTGGTCCCACAAAGACGTTCCTGCATCAGGTACATTGTTGCATATCTGGGGCGTCTGAGAGCGTTTACCATTCTTCACGTACTCCGCTGATGTAGTCATTTGGTCGGTGGAGGTAGCTTTAGTCATAATGATATCGTTTTCACGATAACCCAGGCTTTGCCAAGATCCATGCGTGCTGAATACTAGGATACAGCACGTACACACCCAGCATCTCTGCCTAGGCATGATTGCATGTCTAAGAGCGGTTGTCATCGTCAACCACGACATGTGTGCGATGAATAAGACTGCTTCTCGTCTTCAAATTTGACATTCATGACATCAACGAGTGTACCAAGAGAAAATCGCAAGGTGTAGAACTCGCCTTCGGCCTCTTCGCGGTCAATCTCTATTCCTTTCCCTAGCCTACACAGCACGCGCGGCTCGCCGAGATCTTTTCTGGCTAACCGTAGGAGACCAGCGCGACGCCGGAAGCTATCTGCTACGTCATCACGACGAGTGTTGTCCCAGAACAGATGCCCCTGCTGTTCATGGCAAGCATCAGAATCGCAGTGCAAGCAAAAGTACACACCATGTTGTGATTGAGGTACCGGCTGAGAGCATGATGGACAGATCTCGAGGTCCGAGCTGTATGCCTGAAGCTTGAAGCCATGCGTTACAGGGACAGCGTAAGCTTCCATTTCCAGATGGGAGAAGCCAGGCCCCTTGACAATGCGAGCCACTGTAGCTGCAGAACAGAAGCACACTTCGTATTTGCAAGCGTCCAGAACTTGCATGATGAGCTTAATGTCTGGTTCATCGTAGTCGACCCTTATCTTCTCGCCACCCTTACAAAGCGCCAACAGGGAGTAGATGCGATCCCGCCGAAGCGCACAACATTTCCCTGAGAAGTACTTCAGGAGGGCAAGCAGTCCATGTGTGCCATCCCTGTCCACGTTGAACAGAGACGGGCAGCTGCGTCTATCCCTTGTGTCTTTGCCCCTTTGCGTTTGTAACAAGAACGCATATCCCTCTAATGGGTTCTTAGGTATCCAGTTTCTTGTGCTCTTACACGCGTGCGCGAGTGACAAGAAATCGATGACATGCTCCCCAGCCATCACTACCAGCTCCCTTGCCAGGACTATTTCTTGTGTAACCCATGCTCTTTTCCAGTAAGCATTGTTTGCGATGTAACCGTAATTTTTGTTGATAAATGGAGAGTCAAGGGAGTGGCCGTCGTATGTATCGGCTTCCACAAGACTGTGAGCTTTGGCGGAGCGAATACTGGCGTTCGGCTTCAATCCTTGATAGCGGCTCCTATGAGTTTGATCGTAGTGCTTGCTATGGTAAAAGTCTTCCAACGTTTTCCAGACCTGGCGATCCAATTCCAGTCCCACTGTCTGAACGAATTCTTGCGTCTCGAGACTATTGCCTAGCTACGACGCGACCAATCTTGCGCCCTCAAAGATGTTACCCATCTGTTGAACTTGGTGGTTTCGTTCTTCGACATCGGTTTGGTTGATACACAGCGCATCTATCCATAATGTGCAAAATGTGAGACGCTGGCGTGCCGCTTGGAGGAAGTCGTAGAGATTTTGACGCACATGAAATAGTTTTCCATCGAGCTTGATGGGATACTCGTCCCCTGGTTGGCCCCAGGTGTAGGAAAGACAGATATAGTTCGATTCTTGAACTAGCGCATTCTGTAGGTAGCAGTCGGGGAGGCCGTCGACGGAAAAATCAGGTCTGATTTGTATCAATCGAAAGGAGCCCTTCTCTTTCGGCAGAATAGAGTGCTGGAACATGTCGGGTTCAGCCTTCGTATTGGCCGCGGGACTGGCCATGATTGGCAAAATCGCTATCGTGGAGTAGAGTATTTGTCGGGTTATTCGATAGAGCGACGCTTTGAATACAAAGAACGACTCAGCATTATGGTTGCCTGCGATGTTGCTGATTGGGTCGTGCGGCAAAATGCTGCCATAAACGATGTTGCTGCCTATTGGGATTCATGCCAGGATCGTTTCGAAGACGTGTTGGGTTGGTGCAGGAGGCCTCCCGCGGGGCGTCATCAATTGATTAGGTAGGGGGCAAGGGCGCTAAGCTCAGCCTAAACGCGTCATGTTCATGATCGCGACGCGACCCTCCAGCCACCTATAATCAGCCAACAATCAAGTCTCTGCTTCATAGAGCACGCTTCTGTTTCAGATAGAAAAGTATGGGTACACACAAAAGTCCCAAGCCCCCAAAGACGGTAAAAGTCCACCCGTATCCTATCCGGCGCACCATCGTCTCCAAAGCCGTCACGCCGGCACCACTGAGAGCGCATCTCACCAGGCTGTAACTCGCTTGTACAGTCGAACTTCTCCCGGGATTAAGATCTGTGAGCAGCGTCCCGCATGTCGCGAAAATACATACCTGAGCCGCTCCGGAGAAGAACTGAACCACTAGCAGTATAGCGATGTGCGACTTCGTGTGCAATACCCAACCGTACCCCATGGTAGCCACCGCACTGACAATTACAACCGGAAATATCGATCGCAGTCTAGCCTTTGCGAACGGGAATTCGTTGCCCGATCGAGACATTACTGGGAGACCTAGTCTGCGCGCAGTGACTTTGTAGTCGTGATCGAGAAGTTTGCCGGACGCATACGACGAGAGGATCCCGCCAATGCCGTTTGGAAGGTAGGTTAACCCGGCCATAAGGTAATTCATCTCGTACTCTGCGATGACTGTCGCTGAGATGGAAGCCGCGAGACACGTATACATAGTGTAAGTGATACCGCCGGCTAAGATAACGATGAAGTTGGCTTGGTTCCTGAGAGCTGACAGTGATTTGAAAGGTCCTAGAAAGGCGGAGCCACAACTTCGAGAAGATGCAGCTGCCGGAGACCTGGTCTCACGACGAGATACAAGCGAATATATGGATCTGTTCACGAGGCGCGCTGGTTGAAGACTCCCGTTTCCTACAAGGGATCTTTCGGTCTCCGGAAGGAAGAGGGTAAGTGTCGCCAGCAAAGTTCCGGCAACAATGACCAAGAGCCAGAAGATCCATTTCCACGATAGCTTTTCTGAAACTACTCCACCTATGACAGGCCCCAAGCATGGTGCAGCGTTGGTAGCACCCATTAACACACCCACGTAAGATCCTCTTTCTGCAGGTATCGAAATGTCTGCGATGATACCGAAGGCGATCGCGATGGTACTTGAAGCGCCAGCACTTTGCAGACATCTCATTACTATGAGAGTCGCATAATGCTGCGTGAGGGCCAGTCCTATGTTTGCCCCAACATAAATGCAGAGGGTCAAAAGAAGTACGGGTCGTCTACCGATGTCGTCAGCCAGACTGCCGAAGACCGAGGGTGCGATTCCCGATACTATCAAGTACGAGGTGATTGACCAGTTGACCTGTTCGATGGAAACCCGCAATGAGTTTGCGATCGCTGTAATTGCGGGGAAGTATATGAACGATGAGATTGTTAAGAATACCGCTGCTGTAGAACAGGCACCTAGTAATAGTCGCTTTTGAGTGGGAGTGAACGTGGTGTATGGAGTGTCTTCGACATTCGCGCCCTCTTTTTCTTGGTCTGCGAGCCTATTCGCAGCCCCTTCTTCTTCCGCGGCTTCGTTACTTTCATTCTTGACCATTCTGATCGGACAGCCGTGTTGTTCAGAGCTGAATGCCTCAAACAGGGTACGACAGAGAAGGGTGGCACCTGACTCACAAGGCACGCTTTGACGTCTCTGCAATCTAGTCTTGCGGCACGGTTACTTCGAGCACATCAAACGCGGGGTAAGCAGTCACTGTGAAAAGTGCAAACAAACAGACCTAAGCCAGCCATTGACGAGATCGCATTTGACCTCTACAGGTCGCGTGGTGAAGACACTTGTCGGGCTTCCCAGTCTTCGAAGCCGCCAGGGAACTTCTCAACGAGCCCTCTCATCTCAGCTTTGGCCCTGAAGCCAGTCAGCCTGACATTCGAACGTAAGTGTCTTTACACATACCTATCGTGAAACTCGGGCCTGTTGGGATAAAGCGCAGAGACCAAGAGATCATAGCGACTATTCTAGTGAGTAAAAACAACTCCCTCCATGGGACTGTACTAACATGGCGTAAAGTCTGTTGCGATCGTCCCAATCTTCCTCTGGTTGCGAGGGCTTCACGATATCCTTGTAGCACGTAAAGAACTCCTCACCCATATTGTACCGCGGAGCACGCCAGCTACCCAAGTCACACTCGTTATGACCCCAGAAAGCACATGAGTCAAAGATAATGGTCTTACCAGTCTCTTTCTCCAGCATACAGTTTCCAGGCCAGAGATCCGAATGCAAGAGGCATGGTTCAATCGAGCGACCGCCGGTTTCCAAGGGCCGAAGCAACCTAGGTATGACCTTTGAACAGAGAGATTCGAAGATGACTTCTAACTCTTCGTCTACTCCGTACATGCTCTTCTCTAGATCATACATGGTCTGCATGGCTCTGTTATACCAGACTTCCCACGAATCTTCCCATGTGTTGTCGTTCGGTACGTGAGCAAGGTGGGTTGGAATGTGGAATCCGTATTTGCCGAGCGGTGATTTTCCCATACTTGCTCTGTGCACCCCAGTAATGATGTCGACAAAGGCACTTGGATCCAGTTTCACCATCGCCATGTCGTGGAAGTCGCAGATGTAGAACCATGTGTCCGGGTGGTCTTTATAGGCTCCCCAGGCAATTGGTGTTGGAACATGTTCGGGGCAGTAAGAGTGATAAAGTAGTTCGGATTCGTAGGTACCTTGCATCATTCGCTTTCCTAGTTCGCCTGTTTTGATCTGCGGTCCTATTAGATGGGATCTTTCGTGTGACAAGACACACAACCTACCTTGACGAAGTACTGCCTTTCCGAGCCATCTTGTAGGTTTGCATCGATGCGGAAACTCTCACACCACGCGCTTTCACCGGACTGTCTGATTGATAGTATCTTCACATCCTTTGGTAGTGCTGCGTATGGTCTTTAGCTGCAAGGAAGTCGAAGTAGTTGTTTGACTAGAAACGTACCAGCCAACACGCTTGCGTCCAGTTGTTCGATGTGTATGGGATTCGTCTCGCGCTCATGTCGCTTCCTCGCGGCAACCTCGTCGGCGGGGTTCGTAGACATTGTGTTTGCTTGGAATTGCTATAGTAGCATTGTATGATGGTTCGACAAGACCAACTGCGGAGTCATCGTGCGAACGTGCGGCGCAGTCCTGCGCTAACTCCAAGGATATCGTGCACTGGATGATGTCAGAGACAAGAAGCCCGATTCCATACTCGTCACAGGGCCAGCACGTTTGTTTCGATGTAGCCAGTTGATGAGTACCCAATACACATTTTGTTTGAGTAAGAGCACTCTACGTTGGTAATTGCAACGCCTCAATATTCGCGCTTGCTTCTCGTCCCTCTATCAGCTCTGACAGAACAAGTCCAGTACCAGGCGCATGCGATATACCCCAAGCACCATGGCCCGCTGCTATAAAAACACCTCCATTGCCTTCCTCTCTTGTCCTGGTATTCCCGAGCTTTTCGTCCGGTATCCGCGATACTATGGGTCGGCCGCTAGATGTGACTGGACGGAAGCACTAACCTGCGATTAGCAAACTGGTTCAGCGTTCTAGTCTCAGTATCAACTTACCAAGCCTTCCCTCAAAATCTCCATATCCTTGCCCGGAACATTCACCATCATAGCTTTTGCACACTGTTTCAACTGCTCGATGGCCTTCGTACTAGCTTGTACGTCTGTTGCAACCTCCGGTAGAGGTATGTTTGTGCTATTGAGCCCTGCCAGATACAGCTCTCCACCCAGTCTCGCAAACCACTCTGGCGAGAAGCCGAGTGTATCTGTCGCGAAGACTGCGTGGCAGACTTCCTTGTCGAGCTCTTCGGGTTTGTGGTATGGGTTTCGAACGAGCAGCGAGTGGCCAGCTAACGAGGAGACGGGGATGCGCGCTTTCGAGGATGGGAAGAGGGTGCTGAAAACGCGTGGAGACCACGCACCAGAGGTTATGACGAGACGGCTACATGGTACTGTTGTAGTTGGTTAGTAAGTGTGGAGTTGGGTGGTATGGATTGGGCCTTACACTCTGTCTCCGACTCGGCGTCATCACCCTTTGATATCCTTACACCGCGCAACATATCTTCTGAGTCTTTGATGATGGCTGTCGCCGTCGCTGGCTGATGTATCGTGACCCCCCTTCTCTGCACTTCTTCCAGAAGCCACTGGCAGAATCTCAACGGATCGATTTGTGCGGTCGTCCCATCCCTACTTATAACCTCCATGATGCCTTCCTGTGTGCGCCGAAGCCATTCTGGACCGGCAGCCTGTTCTTCCCAAGGCTTATTATGATTCGCTAATTGTGCTCGACTCGTTCCATTCTCAAGCCAGTCTTCGCCGCTACCGCCAATGGCTGATTCGCTGTCTTGTGAAAGAGAGATTCCGGTAGACTGCGAGTATCCCCATGTTGTACGTCCGGAATGCGCGTTCGCGAGGTCGGCGTGAAGTTTGAAGGATAACGCGCCGAGGGAAGCTACGGATGGTGCGAACCCTACTTCGTAGTTAGACAAAGTGATCAGGTGTTGAACGACGCGCTGTGCTGATGTTGCACGCGTTGCACGCTGCCAAACGTACAGTCGGCACTCAAGAAGCCCGCAGCAAGGCCAGACGCGCAATGGAATAACTTCGGACTCGAATCAACCAGATGAATACTCTTTGGGTCTGTATTTCCACTTTCTGTGAGATAGTACGCGGTACACAAGCCGATGATGCCGCAGCCAAGGATAGCGACGTCGTTGGCGTTCTCCCCACAAGAAGCATGGATTTGGCCTGGCATTCTGAACTTCACGCGGGGCAAACCGAGGGACACGGCAACAGCCTCGAAGCCGCCCGCCACCACGCCTTTAAGCACGCCAGCAAGTACTCTCGCGCAAGGCCGGCACACCAGCGGCGTCTCACATCACAGCATAATCATCATGTGTTAGATCATGTTGCTGCCCACCCAAAATACTAAACATCGTACGAGCTGTTCCGCACATCTTCGCTAACTCCACTGCACACCCCAGTCACCGTCCCAGACTCGGGTAAGTCGCATGAGCCGACATGGCCTGATTTCCCTCCTACACCCTCTGGAGCCCGGATCTTCGCTGCTTTCGATTACCGTTGGTTGGACTAACTGATGCAACACTCGGATGATCTGCGGACTGGAACTTTGATTACAGGTACGGCTATTGGGTACAGTGGTGCCATCATGAGAGTTGGGGCACGCGAACGCCCCGCTGCGCATGTGTGGGATGAGCTGGAAGACGCGTATGTGGAAGAAACTTGTGGGCTGCATTGATAACTATGGAGACTCTATCGATGGAATACTGTTTGCTGGGAAGGATGCCGGATGTACCGTTCCTGATCGGTCACTGTCACACTTTTCAGGGCCCGACCCGACCCAGCGAATTTGAACGACCCTGCATAACGAAGTGCGTACCCGATGATCTATGCACTGCCACCAAGATCCAACATGCCCTGGAAGGCTTCGTAGTCTTGCAAGGGGTTGTTGTGCTGCTCTTGCGCTGCGGAGATTGCGGGATCAGCCACGATAGCCTTCACAGGCGAGTCCGTATCCGGGCTGTGAGGATAGGTATTGTCCCACAGCCTGCGGATGATCATAGGCGCTTCGTTTTCGTGGTCGACGAATGCTCCAGGGATACGTGTACAAGGTACGTCGGCCGTCTCAGTCACACCAGTCACAGGTCGGGAGCTGGATCTTGATCCATAGCCGCTACCGTCGTAGAGCCCAGTATGCTCGCCCCAGGAACTATCACGCTTTCCCATCTTCACTTCCTCGGCGACGTGCCAACTTGGGTCAACATCCAGATATGCTGGAAGTTTTCCAGTAGCAAACGCCTCATTGAGCTCGCTGTCAGACACAGAGGTAAGCCCCGCATCCCGAATAATAGCGCTCAAATGTGATGCCAGCTTCTCTTCTTCTGCGGCAGCATACCTGATTGGCGTTTCATTGTTCCATCCACTGTCGTCGTCATCTTCATTGCAAAAGGCAAGCAGCTTGATTTTCATGCGACACTCTCCGTCTGCTCGACGGTAGACGCTTGCCTGGTAGCCATTCTCAAGGATAAGCTGTGCATGCTCCTTTGGTGTCCTGTCTGTATTCGTTTCATTGGAGACCTTGGTGGTCGCATCCTCTGATGGCTTATCCGGGTTGTTGTAGACTGGCGAGTTATCGATACGATCTACCCCAGACGGATCCTCTCGGGCTGATGTCTGACCTAAGTCTTCGCTCTTAGCAGGAAGTGAAAAGCAATCGTCGATAGGCAGATAGTCGGATCCTGGGTTTGGAAAGCGAACGAGGGGCTCATTGAAGTAGACTGCAGCTTCCCGAAGACTGTCAGACAGAGCGCTTTTTGTTGAAGCTGGTTTTCTCATCGCTTCCAAACTTGGTTCGTACGCTTGGGTGTATGCTGGTGGCGAATGAATCATGGTCTTTTCTGAGTCCAGAATCTTCTGGATAGGTGCTGGTGATAGTGGAACAGTTCCATCTGGTATGAGCGATGAATCCGCAGGCGATTGCGGGATCTGTTCATAGGATGGTGGGACCGGTACCGGCGAGGAATGGTGGACATAAAGACTCGAGGTTCGGGGGTCCATGCGGTCAAGATCGAATATTGGTCTGTCTGGGGGAGACTCCTCGAAGTAGAGTAAAAGCGATGAGTTGAGGCGGTGCTTCGGGGTCAGCGGACTCTAGAAGACAGAGAGTCAGTGGTCGTTTCTCTGTTGTGGGGAAAGATACTTACACTATCCATGAGGCACTCTGATATATCAGACTGCTTGGTCTTGGTAGGTGAGCGCAAGCTGCGTAAAGAGCCGATGCTCCGCAGCTTTTGCTTTCGCAACGAGCCCATTAGACCTTTGCGCATTGATGGACTCTCTCTGATAGGCGATTCGTCGCTAGAATCAGGTATAGTTGAGCTCGCGACAGGCGAGGACGGTCCTGGAGTCTCACAGCTTGGTGCATTGTTCTCGTTGTGCTTAGCGGAGCAGGGTGGCGAGGGACTTGACAATGTCAGCATAGCAAAGCAGAGATAGGAACATCTCCGACTCACGGAGCTATACTCATTCGAGAGAAGATACCGGTAAAGCTTCTCTTGGCACTGATGATGCGATCAAAAGGCATGGTGGCTGTTCGTCACTATCCCAGTCCTGCACTGTAGGTTCGGCAGTGTGGTTGAGGCTACGGGGTTAGTCGAACGGATGAGGCCACGAGTGTGTGGGAGCTGTTGGAGTCGGCGCTCTTGACATCTGATCCATGTTTGTTGATATACACGTCTGGTCCTGCCGGGTTGACTCTGTGTACTTCAAGGTGGCAAGTTCCAAGAGCGTATGGTGGTTTTGGCAGGATCAACCCCTCTACAGATCGAGCGGATGCAGACGACGCGCTCATAAAATACTCTGAACCCGTTTGTTCTAAGAGAAATAACTCCAGGTATCATGTTCGCTGGTATGATGTTGAAGAGACCTGTTCAACGAGCTCGTTTCTCATGATTCCCGTAATACCTAGGTGGAGATGCGGTATGCTTGGGGCTTCCCGAGGTCGTGCCGTTGCTTGGACATGACAGGTATTGACATCGTTTACTGCAGTGGGTATGATTGCTTGATCAACGATGGCCACTTGTGAGGTATTGGAGAATGTACGTTTAGTCTGGGGAAGACGTTGACGAAAACGCCTGGCTTGAGCTTGCACGTGATGACTGTGGGCCGTGCGCGGGACCCTTGCTTAGCTCTTTCACGTCGCGGTCCTTAGCATTCCTGGAGTGCAAGAGCATCGCTAACCACCGACACCGCCCTTCACCCAATTTGCATCCGAATCCCGAAGTTGTAGTTGCAAACACATCGCGACAACTGCTGCTAGCTTGACCTGCGCCACATCAACGCCATTTTCGACCAGCCACAATGGCGCGCGGCCGCCCATCGCGAGCTGCAGCGCGTCGCAGCACGCCTGTTCGCAGCGCAACACCCCAGCAAGACAGCGACGAGGATATGATAGATGCACCAGAATCGCGCGCCGACACACCCAAGGAAGAGGAAGAGGATGCTGAATCAGCAGCTCAGGGAAGCGACGAGGAAGCCGCACCCTCTGAGCGTTCACCTTCTCCAGCAGTTATCCAGCCGTTTCCGCGCAAGAAGCGTCTTGGTCGCCCTCCTAAGAACAGGCCGCCGGACTGGAATGTCATCGAGCCCGACAACTCCGAAGGCGGCACACCCGTCAAGCGCAAGCGGGGACGGCCGTCTGGTGGAGGTCGAGGAAGGCCTCCAAAGGGAGGGCCGTCGCATACCACGCGCGTTCCTATAGACAAAGAGGGCAACATGATGGACGTAGTCAACGATGAGGTTGACCTACCAGAAGATGAAGAGGGCGAGCAGAAGGTCGACAAGCTGGGTAACCTCATGGGTGGACGAGACTACCGCGTGCGCATATTCACCATCAAGGGCAGGGGCGACAGACAGTACATGTTGTCGACTGAACCGGCTCGATGCTGTGGGTTTAGGGACAGTTATCTGTTCTTCACCAAGCACATGAAGCTCTACAAGATCATCATCGACGACGCTGAGAAAAGGGACCTGATCGACCGCGACATCATCCCTCATTCCTACAAAGGTCGTGCCATCGGTGTCGTCACAGCACGATCTGTCTTCCGCGAGTTTGGCGCGCGCATCATCATCGGCGGCAAGAGGGTCATTGACGATTACTACGTTACAGCAGCAAAGGAAAGCGGCGCAGTAGAGGGTGAACTTGCAGACCCCAACGACAGGCTTCCACCTCCAGGAGAGCCATACAACAAGAACCAATACGTCGCTTGGCATGGTGCCAGTAGTGTCTATCACACTGGTGTGCCCAGTGTACCTACTGCAAATGGCAAGCCTGCCCCTGGAAAACGGAAGGTCAACATCACCTCTGCCAACTGGCAATTTGAGCATGGTCGCGCTGCAAGGTATGCATAACTTATACACCTATCTATGACTACCAGGACTAACATACCCTAGTCGATTCAACTCGAACCTCTCCAAGCTACGGAAAGCAAATCTCACGGGCGTATACGACCCACATACCAACCTGATGTGTTATCCCAAGGTCACACAACCCACCCATGCACGTTGGGAGGAGGTTCCTGCGGAAGAGACCGACGTACCTCCACTCGTTCGTCGCAAGTATCTCGTGGTCGACTCGGTCTTCCAACAACCTCCCTTCGCCGGCCTGGGCATACCTGGGCCCGACGGTGACTTCGTTGATGTCGGTACCAACGGTCTACCGACCCTGGACGACGAGGACAAGTTGAACATGAAGCCCGAAGAACTACAAGTGTTTGAGCAGATCAAGGCTGAAGAACAAGAGTGGCGCAGCCAATGGGGCGGAGAGAGCACTGACGGTGCAAGAGTGAAACCGAAGATTGGTTTTGTGGGCGTTCCGGTTTGAGACATTCAAACTACATTGATGTCCCAAAACTGGTGTGCTCACATAATTTCATTAGATACCACTGCTGCTTCCAGGACGGGGCGAGGTTGCGAACGATGTAAAAATAGTTGCCATACCTGAGGCTGGGGGTACGACTCGATACACCTCAGTATATGCTTCCTCTTGATAGCAACAACCTCATCGGTCATGGTTATCAGTCTTTTTACCTTCGGCGCATCTCGATTCATTGTTAATCATGTCGGTGTTCGACTGATACACTACTTTCATGTCGGAGCTCTACGGTGACCATAGAGAAATCCCGACATATCTTCCATCATCTGTTTGTTCACTACCTGGTCGTATATGCCTTTTTGATGTCATGCGACAGCGAGTGACCGCCTTGCCAGATAATATGTCCCGCTTGCTCAGTGTCGATACTTGACTATCTCTGTGTATACAGGTTTCAGGAAATGATAGTATGGTTACTCTTTAATCATGTGTGTGTAAGCTGAACCGGCCTCCTTGAGCACCATCTTACTTTTCATGCTGAGTCTGGCGATTGCCCTAGGTGGTTCTCATTTACTGCATGAGCATTCCGGGTGTATTGCTGGGTGACTAGTCATCTACATCAT